AGCATGCTCACCGCATCAAGAGGAATTATTTTTCTCCATAAATTCCAGGTATGTACATGTCTGCCGTCTTTACGCCAGGGCATCAGAAGTGGTCATGTGACAAGTTCAAGCGGGTGACACATAGCAATGCCATTGCATCACAAAAAATTATCAATAACCCATCACATGGAAAACTTTAGATGGCAGTTCCAGAGCCATGTTTGCAAGATGTTTGACAGACATCAGTGTATCCTTCTAGTTACACACACTCTCATTTAATGAGTTGCATGTTGGAAATTGGTGAGAGATTGGTGATATAATCACCGGTTCGTGTCGAGACCGGTGACTTGAAACAGTCCTCTTTGCGTCGTCGATTGTGTAATAGACTGTCCTCCTTTCATAGTCTTATATAGAAGTAAAGTAATGTAATTGCAGGTGTTGGACATTGTTAAGTGCAAGCGATCAACACCCTACCTCAATTTACTACTGCTTTTGAGGCACCAATCATTACGGAGTGTGGTGATGGAAGGATTTCCTTCTATAGGAAAGCTCAAAAGCTAAAATTTACAGATACACGAATAGTGATTGTCTTTCAGAGACGGCTTTGGTGGTTCCCAGTCCCTCAAATCGGCAGTCCATGCTACACATTGGTATTCCCACACAGCGAACTTTTCTCATCTCAAAAAGGGTTTCGGGGCTATTGAATTATTATTTAAAAATATTGTCTGGCTTTCAAAGTACCTCTTTAATCAATTCTCCTTTAACGATGTTCTGAGGATGAGAAATCCCGGTAATGTATCTTCGTCGTCCTGTGCAGTAATGTAATGTATATGTATTCGCCTGAGGGGGTCTGGAAAAGAACTGAAGTGTTCTACATGCTGGAGACATTTATTGCTTCTACTGTCCACCAAGACTGCCATACGTAAAGCACTGCTTGTGATTTCATGCATTTACCTTTCCTAACAGTTTGTTATTTGAATCGGTTGACTTGTTTGTCCCTTCGTCCCCTTTTCTCCATATACTCACCTATAGGCATTGATTCATTCATTAATCATCCTACCCATTTAGGATTTCTAGCATATATTTACATGACAGTGCATCTTTCATTTACTCCAAATCCCATTCAGAGATCACTTATTCCCTCTAGAGATCCATTTTAGACCGAACAGTTTTAGCATAATTATCAGTGAAAATGCAAAAGTAAAATTACATGGAAAGGTAGGTATGCTGAATTTTAGTTGGATTTATTCACTTCTGGTAGCAAAGTTTGTGTTAATGTTGGGTGACCTTGCCCACATCCCCGATAGTAGAGTAGGATGCTTTCAGTCTTAAAATGAATTTGACTTTAACACTAAACTACCAAATTAGTAAACAATGGTGGTCTGATCTCAGCTCGGATGAACTCTACTGAAATGTGTTTCGGTTCTGAGTTGGACTCTCTCTGGAGGATTAATTCACGCCAGCAGGAGTCTCCTCAGCAGGCTCGGTTTCACCAATAGAGAGAACACACCCACCAGCTTCCTTTTCATC